AATTAGTCACCAGAGCAGGTTATTAATTTCTAACACCAATTCTAAACCAAGCTCAATGCTATGGAACAAATTTCCAAATAATGGTAGCCTCCATCAGTTTTCCAAGGCTTAAATTTAATGGGAGGAGACTGCCATGGAGCAGTTATTCAACTCAAATCCAACACAACTGCTCCTGAGGTTGAAAGTCCACCAATCGTCTCCCCTGTGATTTACTGCTTATCAGAGTTCAATGGAGGGTCAGCTGCATCTGAGTCAAATGGTATGTAACAGTGACATCTTTCCTTTATCTTAACTAACCTACCATGGCTCATAAGGTGTTTTACATTTGCTATCTTCCTAAATGGTAGTAAGGAAGTGAGGGAGGCCTAAAGAGCTATTGACACCAATAGTCCCACCTAATTCTATGCCAAATTAGGATTTCTTTAATAATAATTACTCTTATGGCATTGAGAGAAACAAAATGCTGGAAACGTTTTAAACATATACATAATTCTTTTACAAATGAAACTGCTGATGTTTTGAGAAACAAATAAAAACCATCATCTTAAGTATTATATTTAGAAGACTTTTCTATCAATTTTGTTAGTAAATTAATTTCAGATCAGCTATATTAGAAACATTACCACTGTTCAAATCTACCAGATGCTCTGCTGGAAGAGGGGCAATCTCCTCCTCTGTCAGTGGAATCCAAGATTCGACTTGATGGTACAGAAGAACAAAAAAATAAACACTGCCTAACGCAGCTTATTTCCTGATAGAATCTGAGTTTGCAAAGCAAGGCATACAAAATACCAAAACCAAAACATGCATTATCTCTTACTATTGACTTCGTTAATGAAGTTATATGTGACACATGTGAAAAAATCTGTGCATGTATTCAACATCAAAACAAGCAAGCACCCTTTCCTGATTAAAACACTCAACAAAATAGGACTAGAGGGGAACTTCTTCAACATAGTAAATAGTATATACACAAACCCGAGAGCCAACATTGTTCTCAGTGGAGAGAGGCTAAAGGCATTCCCTTTAAGAACAGGAATGAGGCAAGGATGCCCATTATCACATCTCCTATTCAGTATTGTATTGGAAGTCTTGGCAGTAGCAATAAGACAAGAGAAGGAAATAAGAGGAATCCAAATTGGAAAAGAGGAGGTAAAATTATCT